GAGGTGTACTCACTTTTGTTACCAGCGGTTTAGACATTAATGGCTGTGTATTGAGTTATTTTGAAGGGACAGTAAATTAACACTGTTGTACAAGCTATACACTGACTACTTTACATTGTAGCAAAGTGTCATTTCTTCAGTATTGTCCAATGAAAAGGTACGCTGAAGTTAACCTCTGATTCCCACCTTTAACTTTAGCAGTTAAGGGAAACTAGAAAGTCAATATAAAGTCACCAATTGTCTTTTATTTCAGCATTTTAGTGATGTAAAACCATGTTAGAAGTTCAGGTAGACCCTAATGTTCTCTAGAACTTACTCACTTTTGTGACATCCTGTATATGTATATATACAGTTTAAGGTTAGGTCTCTGAAGAAAAGATCCTACAACACAACTCTGGTCCCACAGTGCAGGTTTGTAGATGTCACGGGTGTAACTGAAGATTTTTAGGCAACTTAAAAGGTCACTGGTTGTGTGGTAGATTCATAGAATTCCTGCCAGGCAGTGCAACTACTCAAGCAGGTCTCTGTCAGTGAAGGGATGTCCCACCTGAGCTGCAAAACACCGAGGGTGCCCTGTGATCCAGATTATACTGTGCTTTTCAAGGTTAGAGACAAATCTGGACTCTCCATTTACCGCTCCCAGTTTTGAAATAAAATAAACAGCATTTGTTTAAAATGAGACTCCATAAGTGACTTTTGGTCTAAAGAGTTTAGGTCAAACTTAATACAATCTTAAAAACGTCTTGATAGTAGAAATAAAACTGCTGGAGAAAAACTGTTTTGAGATGATTTCCAAACATTTTGGAGCAATGAGACTAAGTAGCAAAGGTTAAATACAAAAAAATGAGACTCCATAACTGACTTTTGGTCTAAAGAGTTTAGGTCAAAGTTTTTATAACCTTAAAAATGTTTGATATTAGGAATAAAAGAGATGGAGATAGATTGTTTCGGGATAATTTCCAAACATTACATAGACCCAAAAAGGTAGAATGGTGCCAAGTATTTCTGTCTGTCTGGAAAGACTTATTTTTGGAGACACTGGAGGTTTGCAAGATCTGCACATTGCATGTGAATACCAACCAGGCACATTCAGATGAGCCAAAATTCCAGCTACTACCCAATTCACATTCACTAATGTCTTATGCAGACATTAATTTTAAACACCAACAGATCTGACCTTCGGTACAGAAAGCTTATTAAAACTAATTATGAGCCAGTGGGGTAATGCACCTTCACATCCCCAGCAGAAACACAAATTAAAAAAAAAAAATCAAAAACACGTTGTACTAACAAGTCCGGAGCTCAACAGTTCACGTTACCAGTTGGAACATACAGGATTATTCTCAAGCAAAACTGTTTGATTGAGTATGATGTAGTATGTCGTAGTATGATGTAGCGAAGAAGGTACAGAAAAGTGTGTTTTAAGTTGAGATTATTGTGTGGACAAGCAACAAACTGTTCTGCTCATCTCAACTGTGACCCAAACCAGGACATACAGCTGACCATTTTTTCCCCAAACAGTTACAGCTATGCTAATTAATTGTATTTTTTTTTGTAGCTCTACATGTTGAATCTGTTTATCTTTTTGTTGCAAAAATTGTTTATACATATATTACAAACAGAGGAAGACCATACTATAAACTGGATTAGCTGGGCAGATGCCTCCAGTAGAGAGCGTAATGACGGCTATCGTCTAAAACAGCTAAAACATTACACCCATGAATAAGGTCAAATGTATTTTTATTTCTTTAAATATAAAAATCCCCTTAGCCAGAGTGTATAGTTCACAATTTTTAACAGGGTGTTTTGACAATAATGGTAAATGTGTCTCCCTTTCCCAAACGAACACAGACTCTCCATGATGAGTGGAAGGAGGAAAAATATATTGTTAATTTGGTTGTCCACAAGGGAAGTC